TAACTGGGATCCAATCGAGAAGTGAACGCACGGCCTTGACACTATGCGTTTTCCCAACGCCAGCAACACCGCGACCTTCGGATGCCGAATCGTCTGACACACGGAGAGTGAAGCTTGAGGATCAGGCCGGATCTGGAGAACGGAGGGAGATGAGTGAAGTAGGATCTTGTATGCGTGTTTCGGAGTCAGCACACATCTAAATTGAAAGTTTCAAGGGTTCTGGCTAAGGCGGCTTGTTGACCGATCTGGTAGAGTGTGCGGACATTGAGTGCGGCCAAGTGAAGAGGGGATTTTGGTTTCACAAATCTGGCAGCCTCTGAGTGGTTGACCTCATTAGTTGAACGCCGAGTGATATGCGATGTGTCTCGTAAGCAGGACGCACCTGGGAATATTCGGGATTGAGAAGAACTAGACAGATGAGAAAGATGGTTTCCCAAATGGGTAACCAAGACTTTAGGGCAAGGCATACTTAGCGGCAGCCCACACCGACGAAGGGGTTTGTCTTTGGGAACCTAACCGGAGCCTTTGACTCAAGAGTCTGACCCATAAGGCAGTGGGGCGTAAATTCAACGCAGGAGCGTCAACGAAGCACCCGTGTGGGAGCTTCTGGAGACCTGTCACGCAAGGCCTTTGAATTTCGATTAATTGTGTTGTTCGCTGGTGCGTTCATTTTCGGTCCGCTTTTCGGGATCAGCCGTCAGCCTCATGCACTCAATGAGACAAGCGGAGCGTGGACGGGACAGCTTCTTATTGGCTGGGGGATGCCCGGCTTGGGTGGGCGGTAGCTGTCTAATGAAGTGCGAAGACTTCTCCCACCGTCGAGAGGGAGCCACCGGTACCCCGCTCCTACGTCCATCTAGCAGTTTTCAGTTTCAGTTTGAACAACCATTAACCATGCACTTTCGTGCGCCGGCTTTGGTTGCTATCTTTTGGCTTCCCATTGGGATGAAGAATAGGAGAAGAAAGGAAAATTGAAAGTCCATCTAGCGGGCGTTTTTGACCGGTAAACTGCCATGTTTATTTGCTGGAGTAACCTCTCCAGGGGCGGGTGTGGATAGAAGAAAGAGGCCAGGGGGTGCCCAAGCAGCTGGCTTTGTGAGACTGACCTTCGTCTGGCCTCTACTCGTTGACCTTTCAGGCATGATTGGATCTACAGCTGTGAAAAGCCATCCCGTGTAGCTCATAGGGTCATTGAGGCAGCAAGCCATCACACCACGTCAAGGTGTAGTCTCGTCGTGATGGCAACAAACAAAAAGCACAGTCTCAAAGTGCGGATCCCAGTTTAGGTAGTCTGTTTTTTTTCGCACACTGATTTCTTTTGCTCTACTCATTCATTGTAGGCTAAACGGACTGGTTACACAACCTGATACAACAGGAACTTTCCAATCGGATAATCGTAAGCACGAGGAGAACTGATGTATCCGTCTTCTCCCAAATTATTTTCATCAGTTTATAAATCCAGGTGGAAACATGAAGCACGAGGCTATGGGTTTTGCTAGACATATCTTGTGTGTGTGTGTAAGGTTCAACAGATTCAGACAAGCTGTGCATTGACTTAATTTGAAAACGTGCAGCGGTCCGCATTTGGTTAGAGTAGAAAAATCCGTACAATTTAGGACGCAAAAACAAACATTAAATAGAAAGGAGGGAAGATAAAAACCTACCGTTGCAACGTGGTCAAATCAACAAAAACGAGGATTTCCGATTTTTTTGGCAGATCTCGAATAACATCTACTTTTAAGCGGCGAAGCAGATGGTGTTTCAATTGTTTATGGAGATGAGCGATCCGTTCATCCTTGGGCATGTCTAACCATTGATCGCTTAGCGATTTGAAACTTCTGAAATGCGGGATGAAGGCAAAGAAGAAAAACATCAAGGGAAAAAAATGATCAAAACCAAATATTATTCGATGAGTGTTGTACCTCGAAAATAAACAAAGGACGATTTGCCCACTTGAAAACTCGTAAAAGTTAAATAAATAAATATGATCATAAATAACTTCAATCTAACCGTTGGGTTGGATAAACCGAGAATCGACATTCCGAATGTGATTTCGCGAAATAGTTTTGTGGACAAACAGTAACATTCGTAGTTGCGGTGCAAAAGCACGACAAAATTCCGCAATCCATCATCAGGTACACTAAAGGATATCACCAGCAATCTAACCTCGAATAAGCATGAGAAACAATGAATGTTTGATTCAAAGAGCACCTTACAATCGCATCTGGCACGTTTGAATAGAGTAACCAGAACCAGTAAACTTATAATATTCCCTATCTGGCATAATTTCCTGCAAGCTAGTAATTCGTAGCATTTGATCTTTTTGTGGAAGTGGATGTTGGAAGAAGAGAACATAATGCATCATGACAAACAGAAATATCACATGCACACTGCTCACTCACGCGAAGGTTTTCGGGTCGACGAAGTTCAGCAGATGAAACAATTCTTCTAGGGTGTTTTGCAGTGGGGTACCAGTCAACAGAATTTTGAAGTCCGCTTTATACTGACTTGTCTCCTTGAAAAGCTGGTACGTAGGAAAAACGGAACAACAGGAGGGATTTCCTTTAAAAATAAAGATATTTGCTGCAACCGATATGAAGAAGACACCTCTATAGTAGCACATGTATACGTACCTCACATGCATACTTATCATACGACCATCAATTTAAGCTGGTGTTGGGGCAAATCAGGACACATTAGTGGCCGGTTTACAATGCATATTACCACTATTGGGGGGAACGTTATTGGAACGGATCGTGTATTCACCACTGTACTCAGGTTGGAGAATCAAAATGACAGAATAACAATTGGGACCCTTGGATGATTAACAACTACAGCGTATTTAGTTCGCAAAACAAGAGGTGGAACACAGATATAGACGTGTAGTTCAGAGCATTTAGCTTGGGCGAATAAATGACGAGTCCGTATCTTGTCAGTAACATTCATTCAGCATTTGTTTCTTCTCTAATACATCACCATTGAGGTTTTTTTGGCCAGCTGTTTGCTAGGCACAGTCGAAGGGACGCATGGGGATAAACGTTTTCGCCGAATACCATGCACTCCTAACTATCCCAAAGTAGCATCCTGCATAGGCGTTAGTCATCCGCTAAACTGAGTCACGCTGTTTTGTTTGCGATTTTATTCACTTTCTTGTCTGGCCCATGAAAAGTGTCTTAGTCCAACGGGATACTGCTGGAACATTCAGTGCATTCCAGTTAATGGTTGTCGTATTTCATAGTATTGTTGATAGGGCTGATTAAGATAAACTTGGTCGAGTACCACTTATCGTTAAGATTGACCGTTTGGCTTTCCTCGTGTTCAAAGTGGCATAGAAAGATGTAGAGAACGATTCAGAACCAATTCGATTTAAGACTGGGACATGAAATATCTTATCATTGAAAGAACTAGCACACTCCTTCTTACAGTATAGCCTAACAGAGTGTTCGACGAGATGATTATGCGTGGTTGAACTGCATGCTTTTCGCAAATGTCAATACGACCTTTACTATCATGACTAATTTTATTCATTTTGTCCATTACTCACTACTTCGAGTGTGATTTTTATCTGGGATCGTTCTACGAAATCAAAAGTACGGTGCTGATGCGATGCGAAGATGGGCGGTAGGAACAATGGTAACAAAGAAATCAGAAAAAGCAAATTTGGGACAACGCATCCGAGCACGCTGCGCAATTTAGCGACAATAATCTAAATGATCATTGACTCTCAACTTCTACTGACGAACGAAGGGGAACAGGTGACCATATGACGTGATTGTGTGGGATGTAATCTGAAATTAACGTACTCGCGATTGTTTGTTCTTCAAACGATGGGCCTCGTCCACAACGAGGACACTCCAGTTGATTGTCTGTAAGCAAGAACGCTCGATACAAGCCAATTCATGGCTGGTGATTAGCACATGAAAAGAGACGAGACCATGCGTGTTGGGTATGAAAAATTCATAGTCCCTGAAATCAAAGGAAGAGAATGTCAGCTTGATTTGAGCATGGAATGAAAAATTCAGAGCACATAGTTGATATTTAATCTCAAATATATTCAATTTCAGAAAACAATATGACAGACCAACAACTGTTTCCGGATGATTCATAAACATGTTCACCCTTGGTCAGAAAGTCATTCGGGATGGTGTAACGATGATCCTTATCTTTAGACTTCGTACGCAATGTGTTCGCATCCTTAACAGAATTGCTCCGTATCTAACATGCAGTGGTCAACAAGGTTGGGTTCATTGCCTTTCGCCACCGATGGTGACGATGATTATGACAGCAAGCCAGTTTTAAGAAACATTTGCAGAATTCATAGATCCTTTCAGAAAAAATAAAATAATTTAAACAATCCCGATTGTGACGGTAAATTATTTGAATATTTGAAAGCGTTGCAATCTGCTGATATAGTCGCTTCGGGTTCAATCAGATGTCGTGAAATAAGGGCCAGTTTAAAGGTCAGCGTGATTCTAAATCAGGTCAGCATCATTTCCCTATTTCCAATTAACATTGGCTCATAATTAGAATTATGGTAATCGAGAAAACAGCCGGCCTATACACATATACATCGCGTTGGAAAAAGATGTCACAACGCCTGTCCAGTCGGGCACTATTTGGTCTGTACGTGGATCGCAACAAAAGCAGCGCTTTATGAGTAATGTCCAACAGTTACGTTTGAAACCGGAAAAAAACTCCTGGGGAAATAAAGTTACCCAAGGTCATTCTATGCGGACGAAAAGTTCATGGGACGAGTACAGCACCCTGTTCAGAACGACAGTCTGCTTAGGTTCCATTTAAAAGTTTGCGAGCACATATGTAACTTAACCAGCCCAGAGATGGTGTTGGATTAACTGCAGCCATATGATTGAACAGCGTCAGTGAATAGCTATGTACGTATTGATGGAATCGTGATTACAAGTGCGGATCAAAGAGCCAAAAGAACATTTTAAATTCATTGTCAAGATACAAGGTGTGTATCGGAATGATATCCGATCTATATGAATGCAAAGGATATTAGTGTAACGAGGAGTAACACTTAGCAAGAAGGGCTTTGTGGTGACTGTTGACCCAGGAAAGCTTCAGAAAAAGACCAGTGATCAAGAATAACATCAAAAACAATATGAAAGTTCGGTCTGAAGTAGAAATGAACCGACTTTCGCGATACCCTGCCTATTAGTACTAAAACGTCAACATGGGAAATGAACGAATATCAAATCGGCACTTACTGCATTGTGTTCCGTGAGCTTTTCTCACCGGTATAAACAATAACGTGAAATTCCGGTGCCCACATTAGAAACTCCCGTTCCCAGTTGAGCAGTGTAGACAAGGGGGCGATAACAACGAATGGACCGTAATCCTTGCACTTGGAGAAAGCAAATAAAAGTGGAGGCACGGGAGATTACTATCTCCGAGATGGGTGAAAAATGGATACGTAAAAGAGGCACATAGATACATGGAAATTCTTTGAACGCAGATGAGTTTCGTAAGAGAGTAAGTGAAGGGTTTGTGTTTCCAAAAAACGCTCCTGAAGAAAAATGCAAACAAGATGGAAAATGGCGAATTCTCGACAGTGATCAAGAACAATAACTGAACAATAACTAAGCTGGATATTCTGTGAGAGATAGGTTACGCAACTCGGGGCATGTTTGCCCAACTCACTCTGTTCCATTGTAAATGCGATCGAAACACGTTCACTCGACCAAGTTGTTTAAGATCAGTCAATAATGGATTATGCACAAATGTAGATGAATTATACGGTGAAACGGCACTACTGACACGTACAAAACTTGTCTCGTGCCCAATTCAGAGAATAGGCCGCCTCATTCTCTTGGTGTCATTCTCATAGGCATCATTCCCAGCACAGGACAGACTACTCTAAGTACTCCATCACGACGAGACTTGCGTTTCCATAAACCTGCGAGCAATACAGGATGGCTTTCCACAGCCGCAGATCCAATCATGCCCGAAATATCAATGAGTAGAAGCCAGATAAGCTCAGTCTCACAAGACCAACTGACTGGGAAACTCCTGACTCCCTCTGATTATCCAATGTAGCCTCTGGGTGAAGTTACACTAGCGAACAAACGGTAGAATACTCCGCTGCGTGGACGTAGGAGCGCGGTATCTGAGGCTCGCTCCCGACAGTGGGAGAGGTTTTCGCACTTCATGTCTTGAAGTAGGAAGGGCAGCGGAAATTTCCCGTATTAGCCCCATCAAGGTATGTTCCATTGTGCTGGCTAGATGTTCACGCCAGTCTAGTACTCCTGTATAACTGTCTAGTTGCGCATTAAAAACCCGTCAATTGGCTCTTCCATCACATCCTCCGGTAACGCATTCCTCTTTGACAGGCGACAGATGAGAAGCAGACCTTTTTTCTGCATTTCGCGGAGCGTCTGTGCATGTCCCCTGATGCGGTCGGTGTTCCTCAGGGGGAATCTCGATTGCAGTTCCGGACCAAAGCCGATCCGAATGATGCGTCTGGTGTAAATCGGGCCGCCTCTCATTCGTCTGTATACCATGGGAAACAACCCCGTAGCCATCAGTCGGATTTTATAGCTAATCCACGTATTCCCACGATGATGCATGTAGCAGCCCGTTGAACTCTCTCAAACTGAGCAGAAGTCATTCCTCTGATGGTTGTCGTAGAACGGTACTCCCCAAACGGTAGCTAGTAGTAAAACTGTCTTTCGATTCTCTTATGGGCAAATTTTGAGATGTTCACTGGTGTGGGCTACCGCGAAGTACGTCATACTCTGAAGTCACAAACATCCACTTCTAAAGCCCTCCATGTCATCTGCCCAGTTTTTCCTCTCGCTTCCAAGCCTCCTGGCTAAGCCACTCATGGGATATCACTCAGTGTTTAACGAGTAGGATAAACCAAACTAAAGCTTTAGGATTGATGAAACCGAAATCCCCTTTTCAATTAACCGCATCTGCATTCAGCTCACTCTGTCAGATCGGACTACTATAACTATAGCTATTATGGCTAGAACCCTTGAAACTTTCCACTTAGATGTATGTTTTGTCTCTGAAACGCACATACAAGACCCTAGTTCCGTTATCACCGTGCGCTCTCCAGATCCAACAACATACTCACAATTCACACACCGTGTCAGGTGATTTGGTATCCGACGCTTGCGGTGTTCGGATTCCGCTAAGTGTCAAGGTTGATTAGATTCCAGTTAGTGGCCGACTGTGCGCTGTATGCCTCGCCGGTTGGGCATGGGTCAACAGCTATAGAACGAAGAGTCGATGCTTATTCGTCGTATCGGCATGTGTACCAACCGAATGCAGTGCACGTGAAATTAAGGATGAATTCTTCCGCTACAGTGTTCGGTCATTGGAAATCTTAATAACCGCTGGAGACTTCAATGCTCAAATCAGATACCTGGGCGAATCAGAAAGGTGCCTAGGCTGCGGGCACCCAATCCTAGCCAACCGGACGGACAACGGAGATCGTCTACTTAAACTCTCGGCGGACGATGAATTGTTTCTATCGAGTACCAACTGCTCTCACAAAAGAAGACACCACCTCACACGGAAATCCCTGGTCTCTTCATGGTGATGGACTCAAATGGACCGCCTAGCCACCAGCTACCGCTGGCGAGGAACCATCTATGACGGTCGCTATTACTAATTGTAGGGGTCATTGGGAAAATTATTATCATACTGCACGAGGGTGAGAATAGCGCGCTCCACTAATTAAATTCCAAAGAAAGTGATGGCGATGGTAAGAAGGCGTTTAGATCAAGTGCTTGATGAAAATGGTTTAGGAACGGGAACAATGGCGAGCGGTCTCCAGGGGTCTAGGACCTGCACAGCCCCGATGGACTTCGCATTAGTCAAAGTACTTTTACTGGTGATTCCAATAAACGCACGCCGTGTTTTCCAATTACCTTTTGACTGGAATCATTGGGAAACGTATCACGCGACAAAATTCAGCATTTATTCCACATTCGTTTGACAATGTCAACGAGAGATCGTTCCGTGTACCCATTATTGGTTAAGTAGGAGAAAAGTGGATACCAATTCGGTGTTTTTCCGCAATTCTTGTTCCGAAATAAAAGCTGGAGCGTAAGACCTCTGATGCCACACCGAAACGCACAGTCATGCGCTACGAAAATGACAGTAACTGCCGAAACAAGGGAACATATGGTGTGATAAAGATACACCAAACTACAAACTAACCTCTTTCCACAGTAGATAGAGGAGAGTAATCACTTGGACCGTTTTCCCCAAACCCATTTCATCGGCCAAGATAGTATTGATTCCATTATGATAAGCATGCCATAACCAACGAACTCCCTCGATCTGATACGGATGCAACACGCATTTGCAAACTGGGGACAAATAACTAGGCTGTCCGTTTGCCCAACACGTCTGATGTGGGAAGGGAAAATGATAGAAATGGGTGCAATAGGAAAAGTGTATTTTAGATGACAGGAAGTCAAACCCAAAAAACAGGCGTTGGAAACGACCATTCGTATGGAATCCATTGGAATCCGATAGCATGCCGGGAGATAAAAAAACGATGCAATGCATTTTTCTAAAAATAAGATTATTATTCTTTATTTAGCCCGTTGACCTACAGACCTACAGCAAATAGTGGATGTGATGGCTATCGGCTGCTATTGGTGATACGGCACATTAAACAGTAAGTCATTTAATGCTTCAAATGCTTTGTAGAGTTCCGTTACACAGTGATATATTTGCTAATCAAAACGAACCTGTCATTTGATCTCACCTAAAAATCAACTTGCTTTCTTACTGAACAGCATCATGTGCACACTTCGAAATTAGTACAATAAGATTATTGGTATGGACATTCTCATCTAGTACTTCAGAGTTGTTGATCCGGTGATTGAATGAGGTTTTCAAGTTGGGAACAAAGAATTTTTGCGCAACGCGGGGGTATAAAAAAAGTAGCATAACAGAATGATTGAACTGCTGGTCAGAAAGTCAGCAAACATAAAAACCGAACCGTGTGCGACATTTAAATGGAATCTCCCAGAAACTTACATCCGTCACGTTTCATCATTGGGTCTGAGACCGAACACATTGTAGATCAGGACTTTGGGCAAAAGAATTCGAATAGGGTTTCTAATAAATCGAAACTTGAGCATGTCTTACGCATTAGACTTTCAGTTAAAGGCTCCGGTTAGGAGTCCCTAAGATCACCCCACTCCCTTCGTTTGTATGGGCTACCGCGAATAAAGTCGTTTCCTGTCTTAGACACGAATCTGAATTATGGTTCAGTACAGTTCAGTTCCGTTTTTTACCACCACTAACCATGCATTTTCATGTGCTGGTCTTGGTTGACTACGGGTCACCATCAACAGAACAAAAGGTCACTGGTTATTAGTCGTCTCTGTGTATGAGCCAATTGATTGAACTCACAGTGGAATAAAAGGTAACTTCGACAAGGACCTCTCTCTCGAGTGCTGCAAACTGGTCACTCGATGAACAATGTAGTTGCCAACCGGTGACTACAACGCTCAGGAGGGACATCCAACGAAATCGGTTAAAGGCCTAGGCGACTTAATGCAATCCCATTCAACTGCATACACGGTGGAAATAGCCTACATAAACTTTGCACGGATCACGGATTGTTCAAGCACTAACTTCTCCCACAATAAACGGAACCAGTTTACATGGATAAAGCACAACTTACCTTAGCAACAGACATAAATCAATCACATTTTCATCGTTCACCACTTGTGGGAACCACTAAAGACTGCTGTTCGCATTGATCAACACCCATGGACATGGACTACACTTGGCTGCGAGCCAGATTCTACCTGCGCCCGATGAAAAACTGTCATAGAACCACTGGAAGTAGTTTCTCAAAGTACAATGTAAGCGACAACTGCTAATGGGCTTCTGAAGTGGAGCTAACTGAACACCTTTGAATTCAAATACTCATCGAAAGACTCAAAGAAAATGGGGGGGGGGATAATAGAAGAAACCTCTCTCAAAAGAGGATGGGTTGTGGAACACAAGCAAAGTGAGAACTATAGACTCCGTCGACTTTCTGCTGCGTTATTGGATGCTGGCACAACCAGTTCTTGGAAGATTAGATATGATACTGCGCACGAATCCCTTAAACGCCTGAAGAATGACCATGAGCGGTGGTGGGTAGCAAAATATAGGGGGACGGAGAAGAGTGCGACTATGGATAACAATCACAATCTTTTTTGTCCAATTAGAGGTACCGGCAAAAAGAAATTAGACGCAATTGAGGTAATTAAGCAGTCCAAGGGGCACAGAGATCCAAATTCAACATCTTCAATGATGGGTTGGCAATTTTAAAGTGCATTTCAAGTGGGACTCATCGACATTAGAACAGCCAATTATTGTTTCCGCTGGGCGAATATTACCAGTCGATATTTGTACCCCTTTTTAAACGGATGGTATTGGGAAAATTAGTTATCGTAAATGACCAAAAGCCTTCTGCCTGGTAGGTTGTCTCCATCGTCTTTTAAGTGTGTAGGTTCAGCTTTCGTCCTTGAGTTTACGAAACCCCTGGGTTCAATATAGAAGAGCCAACCGATTCCAACTGAATAGTGTGAAAACCACAGAGGGATGAAGTTGATCACTATATCACCAAATTTATCGCTGACATTATACTCCGTTGATCTTTTGTCTCACGTAAATAACAATCGCGTGAGAATCTTGGTCATTTAAGACCAGGTCGAGGCTGCAACGACCGTATTTCCAGTCTTCTTGGCTTCCGTAGACCCACNTTCGTTGATCGCCAGATAAGTTTTTCCGGCAAACGACGTTTCCAGAGTTAGGCAGTAGTTATAAGATCAGGAGTGGTCAAAAAAGACAACACATGAGGTGACGAGATCGTTGACTGAGGAACCCGGGCATATAGGTAGCGCTCAGTTAGTGGATTGCGGGCCTCGAGATCCGTATTTTGAAAATGTTATCAAACCTGTCCATGATGTTGATCGAAATCAGCAAAATAGCCAAAAAATGTGACCGTGAAAACACGTGACAATTTGTAGCAGCATCGTAAACGGGTAAGATTTTCTAACCCTGTAATACCAGTCTTGACTTACGCGAGCGTAGTGACCGATCTAGCATGGATCGGGAAAACATATGGATGCAATACATAAATCACTCACATTCCAAATATCTTTCGCATCCCGCGTGGACGGCAATGACTTCGAAGGAACTCTGCTAGTCCCATAGGCTTCGCACAGCATAGTGGCGATTCGTGTGCAATAGAGGTGAGTCAATCGAATCAAATGCTGACGGATCAGCAGTGGTAGGAGTTTCCCTTCCGGCTCATCTGGTGGCTTGATTGACTTTAGTCGGGCAAGCTCGGGAGTGTTTGCCACCATCTCCAGAACGTCTGTGTCTGCCTCGATGATTTCCCATGTGTAGTGATTAGCCGGTAGATGCAACCATTTGACAAGAACGTGTCGATAGCGCAAGTTCGTTCGTTTTCCTTCAATGAGGGGATTGAGAACGTTACCTTCGGAATCCAAAGGCGCGAACTCTGGACACATAGTGATTACGCGTTCCGGTACGAGGGTGTAACTTTCGACTCCCCAACGTAACAAGTACAGACGTCTAGCACCAGCGTCCGAGGGCATTTTGGCAGTCCAACTGTGAATCAAAATGGGTCAAATGCATCGGTAATTTAAATTCGTGGCAGAAAAATCAAATAATGGGTTTTGAATTTGAGACAATAAATGCGAATGGTGTTAGAAGATAACAGCGACTGAGTGATAAGGTGAAAATGCTTTGATTTGCCCCATAACAATTTTACTTTTGCCAGGCAAAACTTCGCGTTTCGATGATCGAGTCAGCCGAACCGCCCGGATATAGATGAGGCTTCCACCAGCTACGTTAATGTAGCGTTAATGTCATGACCCTAGGGAGCGGTCAGTCGGACGATAGTGGCAACCAGAACAGAGCTCGAGCCTATTCGTTGCCTACGATGTTAAACAAATGTAGCGAAAGCAAGCGAGATAGATCAGTCGTTCAATGGTCTAAGTTTAAAGTTGATAGGTATCAGAAGTTTGAGATTAAAGACTCAATGGTTGCAGTCAACTTTAGTGACAGCGACTGGGTTAATAAAATAGCCACGCCATTCGGACTTTATGTTATTCAGTAGTTGAAATATCTTCCTTTGGGTTACCAGTTCTTGTTATACCATACTGAGCTATCGTGGATATTGAATACATCTGTGATGTATGCCATACGATATAATTTGATTGGGATTATGTAACAAGAATTCAGGTAAGAAATTAAAAAATATCAACACAATTTGGGGGACAATTTGGTGGCAAAATAAAATATTAGGAAAGATAGTTAACCAGTATTGAGGATTGATGGTTTATTCTAATAAACAAAGAATATTCTCCTTTAGCTGACTAATGTAGTACATAGTTAAGTTCGGTTATCCCAGAGGACTTACATTGCGGAAGACTAATTTCTTGATTGATAACCTCGATGTGATTTGGGATGATGGAACTCCAGCAGCCATACAATAAGTGTGTGTACTACCCAATATTCCGTGCCTTATCTCACGTCACTCTTATTGACTGGGCATCAAATACTGTATAGCATCATGAATCAAGCACTGTACACCGAGTTTCATCTGAAGAGAGGTGGGTGCGCGCACGGCTTTCAAATTTCATGACAAGGCACAAAAATCATCACCCTGTGTTCTCAAGCCAGTTGAAAATTAGTCCTGTGGTACAAAACGGAGCTTAACAGTTGTATCACAGAGAACTAACTGGTAAATCGGGTTTGCACAGAGTAGTAATCGCTGTGAGCGACCGGGTCAATAATGCTATGAACTCCTGGGAACTAACCTCTGCCAGGATTGCCATAGCGCGCTTCAGGGGTAAGCTGCTCACTATCATTGCTGTTTACAGGCGGAAACGCCCATTAAGGACGACCCTCATAACCGAGTTTAAGACGCAGTCAGTCGCGGTACGGGAGGTGATATTCTCCCCTTCACAGAAGACTGGAATGTACAAACTGGGCCAGCACACGAGCATACTCGGTATGTTCTGGGTAAGTTAGGCATTGGTCGCCGTTGCGAAAATCACGAAAGTTTGGTCACATTTACCAATCTTCACCGACTGTTGGTGGCCAACATCCGTTTCCAGCACGCTGGATAACAACTACTGACTTAGTACTCCAATGACGGTCGAACAGCACACCACATTGATTAAATTTTGGTATATGCTTGTTGGGTCGCTTCAATGAAAGATTGAAGTTCCTATCGCAGGATAGAAACTGGGACGGTACGGGACCATATCCGTGAACACTTTTGCTTCAAGGTATCCCTGACTGCTCGCCGAATGACTCACCCCCAGGCGAATAGAATATCACTCCCTTGAAACGACATGCGGAAAGGAGGACGTTGCTGGACGATGCCGTTTCCAACATAGCCGCAACTCCTCTCGATAACGAAACTTTTGACACATAATGAAAACGTCCAACAGAGAGACGACGCTGGGCAGTTAGTTAATAAATACTCCTTGCCACATGAACGACTGGACCTCCGAGCGTACGCTGCAGTTGTTTGCAAAGGCAAACGCTCCGAATGCATTTTTAGTCTTTCCCAATCCGAGTATCCCTTGGAACCCTCAGTAATCAATTCTGCGCTCATCATCAGAACAAATACCACCAAATAACTGAGAGTGACAACAGAGAGCAATCTACGGAGGTCCTCTCAAGCGCTAGTCTGTATTCGTAGAGTGCATCATTTATCCCTCCAAATACGCAAGCTGCGATAATTTGGAGCGAAACATGCAACTATATTTTCTTTTGTTTATTAATGCATTTTCCTGTCACACTTTGATGATTGCTCGTTATTTTTCCTGGACTTCCTAAAAAAGATTTAATTACTCTTCGTCGCGGTTTGCTAATTACCAGCCTTGTTTCTCTTATTCCCTTAAACACTCTAATCACAAAATTGTTATTTTCATACTAATTCATGTGAGAATTTCGCCCATAAGATGTTCAACGACCCCAGTCATCCGCTCAATCCCGATCTATCTGTTCACGAGCCAATTATCACTGCTAAGCCTCCCGCACAAATATTTATCGCAATTCAACTGTACCCTATCTGACTCGTATTCCAATTGACAAGATGAAGAACCGAAACGAACCAATTTTAAACCTATCCAGATGAATCTGTCTAATTTTTATCACTGTTGCACATCATTTTTTTCATTTTTTCTATCCCAGTGTGACGGTGAACCAATTTTTGACTGAAATGTAGGCATAGTTGCCTGCACAAGTCATTACAATATCATACAAGGCGAGAGAGGTTCGGCAGATCAATTCACCTGAATTCCGTAGTGTACGTCACCAAGCTACACGCTGCGCCAAGAGGGACTGTAAAATATATTGTGAGGCGATTACATATAGCATGGAGGCTGCAACCCCTTGAGAAGACGCTGGAAAGCCATGCCATCTAATCCGTGTCGCAGCAGGAAAGAGACGGACATCGGAGCCACCGTTGCGAAACACCACGGATTAACTTATTCAGAGAAATGAGCAGAAAATGTAGAGGTGGATTGAACACATCGACAAACTGCTCAACCACCCATCAAACCAACTTGGCTTTGCAAAGGTGATAAGTGGGTTGAATACCAACAATATTATTAGTGACCTACCTTGTAGAACAAAAATAGCGAATGCAGTCACTTCTCTGAAAAACAAGAAGGCCCCTGGAGTGGATGGAACAGCTTGGGAGTAGTTCAAAGTTTGCCTACTGATTCTAATCGATCCGTCGCACTCTCTTGTTCACTCCATTTGTGAAGAAGTGCTCCCAAAAGAATGGGCAACCTCAATTTGAGTCTTTATTCCAAAAGGGGCGATAGGCCAAAATGCGGTGGTGGCCCAGTGGTAACGTCACCAAATTATCATCCCAGGGATGTGTTCGAATCCCACCACCACCGCCTGACTTTCCCCAGCGTGTGTTGTATGTCAGCTCTTTTATTGGCCGCTCCCCCCTTCCTGAAAATTGTATCTTTGTATATTCAGTAAAAAGAAAGTAAAAGAAAAAGAGAAAAAAGAACAAAGAACAAAGGTATGAGACTCATTGATACTACAGCCAAACTGTTTCGGTGACACTGCTTCACCGCTTCGCAGTTGTCAGAGATACCTTCACCCAACCGAATCAAGGCGGTTTCACCGTGGAACAGGATGTATTGAACAACTCTCCATTCTACGCAGGACACTAGAATTCCACAGCGTGTTTAATCGACTTCCGCGCTACCTTTGATTCTGTCAATAGAGACTTCTTGTGGTGCATACTGCGGTTAGATGGGATACCCGAGAATATCAGCAGGCTTTTAAAGCGATCCAGGTATACGTTCTTACCTTCGGAAAAAATCAAATGACTTTATATTAAGCTCTGGAGTGAGGTAAGGTTATCCCATCTCCAAATATACCATAGATTGGATAACGCAACAAGCACTAATCGACCACTCATACATGCTGTATGGATCGTGGACCTCGAGTGTGGGATGATGTTGTGGTACTTGGGGACACAATGGGCATCCTCCAGTCTGTTGTCAGTCGCACCAAACCAGACCAGACCAATACATTTTAGGACCGAACCTTCTAGCGCAACACAAGGNACACAAGGTATCTCGATTAACGGGGGGGGGGGAGTTACCGAATCAACCCAAGGTTTCAATTATCATGACTCTACATTTAGATCGAACGACCAGGTTCAGCATGAAACTCAACTTCGTGTAGAAAGCTAGAAGAGCCTTTTCATAACCCCTCAGACCGTTGTGGAACCCATGTGAAATACGCATAATTACTAAGCTTCAGGTTTATCAGGTTTATATCCGGCCTCATACTCACTAATAATTCTGAAAAAGCCACTAAGAGTACAAGATAGAAGGAAGCTCGATATTTGACCACTGGTGTTTACGTCGCATCTCGAAAGTAAATTAGATTTCCAATGATGAGGTTTGACGGCGCTGCCCAAACATAGCCAACCTTTTTCAACACCGGAGCCCTCAATAGTTCAGCCACGTGCTTCGAAGACCCGGCACTCAAATCTCGAGACAGGCTGAAGCTCCTGCACCCCGTCGATCGTTGATAAATATAAGAGGGTAGGCGAAAGAATGTAACCTCAGGGAACACTGAAATTAACAGGGATTTGCTGAGATAGGAACCCATCGATTCGGACGGAGATGGTTCACTTGCTGGGGAAATATTGGAGCCACGATACGGGAGATGGGTTTAATCCGAACATAGGTAATTTCGACATCAAACTTTCATGCCAAACACCATCGAATGCCGTTTAAATGTTCAGTGAGACACAGATGCCTGATTATAGGTCTTTTTTGTTTATCAGCCTCACGTTTCTAACCCGACAGACCGAGGTCAGTGCCGAAGTCATCGAATCATCTGTGAAACAGGAGAACCATGAAAACTAAAAAGGTTTATCGGTGAGCTATATACAAGTGGAAAACGAACTATGGATCCCGAAACGTACCAGAAAGAGTGAAACGCCAATCTACCCCAACCTATCACTGTACAGGTATGCTTACTTCACAATATCTTCGTAGTCGTAAGAGTTTGTCAATTTGTTCTCCTCGTCGCTCACTTCTTCGCTGCTGTGTTCGACAATAAATGGGATGGTGCCAGTTTCTGATTCGCTAGCATGTTCCATCAACACAGAGTTTTGAGGGATGTGCAACTCGGATACCACTGTATCAGTTGCGTTTGATTCATCCACCATGGCCAAAGAAGCCGATTCATTGCTGTTTTCTGAATGAACCAGACCTTCATTCGTTTCGGCTCTGCTCGATTGGGAAGTAATAGTGGTAGATGAATTTATTCCGGATTTCAATTTGAGATGTTTCATGTAGTAGCGAACCATACTTGGATGCAAGGCTAACAGAATGGCTCCGGACACCCAGGCGCAATGCCAAAATGATTGATCTTGAAACTTCACAAAGTATTCGAATCGCGCATTGTCACGTTGATACGCTGGGTACGATTTTATGGCATCACTCACTGAAATGTTATCAGAACAGGTATGCAAAAACAATTAGGAAGCAAAACAAAGGACGCGATTTTCCTTTTAAAGATGATAAAATGTGTCCTATCAGAGTGAGACATTACATGACGTTCACGAAAAAATACTTATACTACTGAAATATTTTTTTATTATCGGCTGATTAAAAAAGTGTCCATGTCCGATTCAGTACCACGCCTAACCTATCGGAGCTTTATGTGGTACGCCACTCCAAGTCTCGGGGTTTATGTTGCCGGTTTTCACTACTAAACACCAAATCCTCGTGACTATGGGGTTCGCCCCGTCTGTAGTTCACCGAACTTAGGTGTGTAATTAAAAAAACACTATGCCAGTGCTTCAGTGAGCCGTTCGACTTTCTGCATGTTTTGATTACAGATATTAGACTGTAAAACTACAAAACTGACATTTTCGTGTACCTGTTTTGATTGCTATATCTTGGTTTAGGTAAATACATTTAATTCGAATGAATCACCAATTAGTCTACAAATATACCGTTATTCGGACGCTATCAGCATCATCATCAGCGTAATACAGTGAAGCGAACTTCACTGATTGCTACCAAACTCATAATGCATACAAGGAAAGTGATAATGTGTAAGGAGAACAGGAATTGGACCTATTTTTAGGGTCGCTTTTGGTGCAACAGCAACTGTGTCGGCATCAGAGTGAGAAATATTCTCGAGTATGAATCTGGAAAACCAATTGTGCAATTATTCCAACTAATTTCTAACAATCTCATTGAGGTTTATATTAATCATATTTATGAGATACAAATATAATGTGACATGGCAAAATACTGCATGTTAACCATTGTGACTCAATGTGATTCTATTGTATTTGCCAGTCTCTTACCGAATCTTGACCCGCAATTCCGGTCAAAGGACAATTGTAAAACAACAATGCGAGAGTTTATTGAACGTGACAAAAAGTGAGTTGATAAATGGGGAACCGTGCTATATGTTTAGAGTTCCGCACAGTCTAGATTCTCCCCGAATGGAAAATACGAGAACCCTCAGGGAGGGAATAGACCACTCAGACTGCAGTATTCTTTCCGTGACCCTCGTTCCCACGTATCCAGTACCATCGAGAAAAATGACACTTTCCCAAGGTAGCGATTGATCCCAGACCAGTTTCAATGAATACCATGGGGAAACCTGAGGTTTGAACTAAGCGATTCGATATTTCAAGCCTCGGGAGCATAAGCACTGGAGCACGTGGAAGCCCGGCAGAGTAGAATAGCATCAATATCGCAAGAACCACCGTAGGCACTCTCCGCGACCATCCAGTTCCCCATGGACAGCGATATCAAGGTTTAAATAAATGGTCTACCAGAACAACAAATCTCGTTAGATTAAGATACGTGCGAGGTAGTTGCACCTTACTATTGTCCTTCACTGGACGAATATCACTTGCCTGAACCGGGCAATGCCATATCGATGCGGTGTTGTTTTGACTACGTTTCCTTTGACATGATGGAAAACAGACACTCTTCAACATACTGGGGGGTCACATGAAGGGTATGAAGTTCTTATACGAAATGCAATACCTGTCCGCATTATCCACCTGACCCTATGAAAAGCCTAACCAGGAGACTAGGATACATAGGCCCGGTTACGCTCCCTGGCTGGGGACCCCGAAATGGCCACCGATGATTAGAGACACTGAGTGATATGGCTGGGTATCGTAAACAGTGGCGCTCATGCATCCACTCATTATTCTCCTAACACCACTATAGGTAAATTCTCCATTTTCCGCCTGAATTTGTTCTCAATAGTTCAATCTTCATCTTTCTCTTTTATCCAAATGGGTGGACAAAAGACAGCAACCAAAACCGGCGCACGAAAGTGCATGGTTAATGGTGGAAAAACTGAAAGTGAAAACCTATGTGATACACGCTAACTCAAATTTGACAGCAAGCTGTTGAAACTGGAATCCTCGAAATTTCCTGTGTAAACCTACCGGGTCCTTGAAACACGCATGCAAAATATTACACACTCAAATGGGATCTGCGAATTAATCGAAAAGCACCTAACCGATCTGAATGCTTTCTCAATGGACAAACAGACAACGTCAATCGATAGCTTGAAACGTGAATTAATCACAGACTGCCTCCAAAGAGGACCAACTACAAACATTAATGACATGAATACATTCAAGATTGTGGCTCATTTTGACCATCTTGTGGGCACTGAGCATGCTCTGGTATGATCCCAACTACGTTTATGATAACAGCAGCTACACTGACCCGGTGCAAATAGAACTATATATATATATATATATATATATATATATATATATATATATATATATTCCAGGCAGGACGCGACAGAAAAGAGGCTGAATTTCCATCTGAAGCCGGACTAGAGGCAAATCGATCCTGCTATCCTCGGACGATGACAAAACTTTATGTGAGAACTAATGAGGCCTTAGTTTGATCCAGATAGTTACCAAACTGCGCAGTGTTATGAGGGGATACTCACACTTGTCAATAGTTTGCACTCACCAAGAAGTGGTATTGGTTTCCCACAGAATTCGTAATTAGATTGAAGGATTCACTGTTGTAACTACCACTGCTCGAACACTCGAGCTGAATTGGCGCCTACGCAGAGCAGCCTTCGGAATTTCCTCTCAACTCGGAAGTCCAACAAGCCGGTGATGTTCAACTTCGCCACTGATTGGACCACGAACCGTGCCCTTTCTGATAACCCGAGAGTTCGCCTGGGATAATATAACTTGATCAATGACCCCGAGTTTACGGATGACGTCGTCACTTCGAGACACACCAGATAACCTACAGTCAATAATTGACCATGCCAGTGTTAAAGCAATCCTAGTAAACCCATCACAATGAACGACGGGCGAGCGGAATTCGTTCAAGCTCTCAAGTACGTCGACTGCGCCGACCAGCCCAACGGCCAAACCAAATACAAAATTCGAGTGCTTGTCGATATCTCTAGGAGGACTTCTTGACAACTCCGCCGAGTGCTAAAGAGTTTATGGAGCTACCATCTGTCCTATCCTGAACTACGACTGTCAGATGCAGCCATTAAGACACCAAGACCTCAAAAGATTCATGATTTCTGATCACCGGTGTCCGCACGAGAGCCTGGAGAAATAATGGTACGATCGAACGCCGTGAATACTGTTCATTGAAAAGCTGCAAAACTATCAGGCTCCAGTGGCTCAGTTATTTGCCAATTCTTCGGAGCTCTCTACTCATCGCCGTATTTGGGATGGAAGTGTCGTCTGTGGCCTAATTTAGACCTGGATCGCCCTAGTCAAAGAATATATGGACATGAATACAGAGTACAGTCAAAAAGCTGGAATACGAACCAGCTTTCAATCTGCGTCAACCTTGTCGCTAAACGCCCCAAAGAGGTAGCTATTGCCAGAGACACCGGCGAAGTTGATTCATCCTCAGACACACTTTAGCTGCATGGAAGTATTTGTACAACACTGCTCAAGTTGCATCTGGAAACTACAGGACATGTTTACCTGATAAAAGTCATACCAAATTGATGAGATATTTAGATGTCTTCATCAGTAACTAACTTGGAAACAATATCAAGGGCGAATACCAAGTATCAAGGCTAAAATATCACGACTGAACGCTATGTCACCCTGAAAGAAAAAATATTTTATGAATGAAGGCCAAATTCAATCAACGAACGCTGTAATTTCGCTGTAACGTTCACAAGGAGATTTAGTCCTTTCTGGTAAATCGATGAACTGGTGGCTTAACGTCAATCCGTATGAAACTCGTTTACTCGCTTATGCAAGTGCACGCTTTGTCAACTGGGGCTGAACCAGCATCTTTGGAACCTGAGACAAAACAGCCGACCCAGGAAACCCTATGGATTTCAACGCAGTTTGTTTACCGAATCAATCTCCAGCAGGTAATAGTCGTGGAAAGAAAAAATTATGAACGAAGGTTTTCAATTGAAGCAAAAGTCATTAAGTCTAAAAGCCACGGATATCAGTTAAATTCCGTGCGAAATCTTTGTTCACACTGAGGACTAATATGGTTCAAGATGAAGCAGAGAACCGTTGAACTTTTCATTTACCTTTCTCGTCTTGCTTTAATGGGCGGGTACATATGATTCGTCAGAAATTACTGCAACGACTGCTAATATCCGCCGTCTTTTCCACTATTTAAAGGATTCAACCCCTCTTGCAGACAAGTTGGGGTTAGTTTCCAGCTCAAAATCAGGGAATTTGTGCGTGGTGTGATAAAAGAAAGAAAAATCCGAGGCTGAAATGGCCTTATAGTTCAATCAAAGGAGTGCACGACAAGGAATACATGTGTAAACCAAGCGTCGAAAACCACCAATTCTCTATTGAAATACTCAAAGATATGAGATATTTCGCATTGGAGTTACCAACCTAGCCATCCTTAGATTGCTGTAGCAAGTTCTACTAATCAACAGTTAAGATGATTCACGGGAGCGGCAGGCCTAACATTTCACATCGATGAACGAAAACTGAATAACCGAGTGATACAAGCGAAACATCACATAAAGTCACCACGAATGTCAGTCGAACGGACACCGTGCAAATCTAAAATTTGTAGGGCCATCCATGTCGTCTCGTTGTCATCACTCCTTGTGTACTGAATACTCTTAAACCAAAAAGTTACCTGATGGAATGGGTAAGCCGTTCATTTAATTCCCCAACTGAGTTTCACTGTTCGGTCACGTATCAGAAAAACCGTCAAGTTCCGTCTTTTGATGGCTGAGGAAGTAGCAATATAACCTGGAGCGAATGGTAGTGCAGACTGCCGAGGAACGACCAGTAAAACAAACCAGTAAAACAAAGCTCTGTTAGTTGGAGAAAGATAAATTTATCAATAAACATTGCTTCGATGTGTGAATCAAAAGAAACTTACACAGTTTTGTTACTTTTTGACGCCTTAACGGTCGATGGGCAAGGATTTTTTCCACTGCAACCTGAAAAGGAACGGAAAAACAGGGGCATTGTGAGGTTTTATGCAATCTACTCCATGGAACAATTGATTTCTCCCGATTTAGGAATTGATCCACATTCGTCACTATGATTCAACTCTGTGACCAATAATTTAGGGTTACACTACTTTACTCTAGCATCGAAATGGCCAACAATTGTAGCGTTGGGAAACCAGAACAAAACTATACAGTTTATCCAGGTTTTGGTGGGCTGAAAGCTGAATGGTGCGAAGTGCGATCTAATAAATGTTACTACGGTCACAGATATACAATTGAGTTTCATGAAGTTACATAAACTAGAAGGTCCTTATTAGGAAACAAAGAACGCAGCGTATTCCGTGGAACAAAAATGCTTAGAGTGAAAGGAAAATTGGTGTGCATTTACCCAATTTTTTGTTATATATTCGCCAGTGTTCCAGTGCTGCGTTGGACCGTAAGCCTTGAGAGCATCTTTATCGCTCAAAATTCGGTCTAGCTCTGCTTCGTTTTCGTAAGTGTCCACTGATTTAACAATTCTCCGTGGACGTAAGCTCCTGCGGCGTTCACCCTCCTGAACTACCGTTGCTTGGACAACCGACGAGGACGGATTATCAATCAGCTCTGGTGCTATCTCAGGGAATCCCACCTCTCCAACATTCTTCGGAAGTGGTGGTTCATCATCCACAGTAAAGTCATCCATTGAATCCATAAAGGAAAGCAGTTTTCTCGGCCGGAGACTTTTGCGAATATGAGAACCGCGAAAGGTACCGCTTGCATCCTGTGGTTTCGGTTCTAAAGATGCATGGTAAGAAGTAAAAAGGCATATATTTACCAGTTATATCACTTTCTGGCACAAAACAGTTTTCAGGAAGAACATTTGAACAACTGTTGAGTACAGACTCAATCACAGGAGGAAAACAACTGGCTTGATAGTTGTTAGATTCCTCTTTTGGTAGTTCTGTGGAATTCGTTATACTAGGGGAGGCCTCGGATACTCGTTCAACGGAAAGAGTAATTTCGCCAGGACACACAGGGTCTGCCACTGTATCACTCAATATATTTACATCCGCGTTATCATTCACAATATCGTCAGGAGTTTGTTCTAAATGACCCAGACAGTAATGCATTCGTATTAGATGAAAAAATTACCTTCACTCGGTTGAAACGCATCCTCGGTGGAATCTACGAGCACAGACTGAGGATCATTTGAACCATCCAAGGTAGACACCGTTTTTAGTGAAGCACGTGAATGTATTACTGCAGACAATTTCGTGGTAGCCAAATGTACATTTGCGTCAGGTTCTGTCGCTGAATCCAATGGAACCGCGGGTGCAGTAAAATTATCTTGTGTGTTTATTTGTTCTTCATCGGTTTTCTTTAGATCAGACTTTTCAACAGGAACAGGAGATTCAGCAGTCTCTTTTGGACTGCTGCAATGTTCCTTGGGTAATTCCAATTCACTACTACCGCCATTTTCAGGAAGTTGCAGTTCGATTGATGAATTCATAAATGCTGTAATCAGAATGGGAGGTGAAACTTAATTAGGCAGTATCACCAAAAACAGAGGATCGGCATATAACGGATTTAAAGGTGTCCACTGGTTGTTAATCTCAATCGGTTTCATGGAACGGACGGACAAAGAGAGGTATACAAACACAATAGGCTAAGCATGGAAAGTTTTCTTTACTTGGTTTCTAAACACACACAGCACATACCACACACAACCTATTTATTCTCAGGCCGGCAACATTATATAAATGACGATTACAGCACCTAGGATTCATGCACATTTATCTAACGGATGCCAAGCCATAACCACAAAATCCAGACGTCACTATGAAGAGGACGAGTGCTCCAAATCGAACGAAATTCAACGTTTGTTAACTGAAATCACCGAAACATATGCGTTTCCTTAACGGGTATAAGTCCTCGTAACAACTAATCCCAATCATAAAAAGCATATGAATATTGACTACAGTCAGACCATCAATTTACAGTATCTCAACACTTTCAATTTAGGAAATGCCTACCACGAAAGGCCTATAGGTGATGACGGAAAACAATACACCCTGTTTGAGGCTTACGATTCCTGCGAATTACCTTTAGAGTAACTAACGCAGTAGATTTCAAAGAACCATCGATCAGTATCAGTTTTTACAGCCATTAACCATGCACTTTCGTGCGCCGGTTTTGGTTGCTGTCTGTTGTTCATCCATTTGGATAAAAGAGCAAGACGAAGATTGGAATGTGTGAGAGCAGAATTGAAGTGAAGATAGCGAACTGACATAGACTGGGGCTGCGAGCATAATGTTTTTTCAGTTGTTTTCAGTTTGTACAACCCTTAACCATGCACTACCATGCGCCGGTTTTGGTTGCTGTCTTTTGGCTCCCCATTTGAATAAAGATAAGGAGAACGACAGGAGGAGGAAGACAGAAAAGGTTGAATGCAGGATCAAGGATTTCAGTGGACTAATGTTGCAGAGAAATTGACAAGATGCACGAACGCCATTGTTTAGGATACTTAGCCATAACACTCAGTGTCTCCAACCATCGGGTATGATCATTCCGAGGTCCTAATACAGGGAGCCTAACGGGACCTACGGGGCCCAGACCCCTGATTAGGGTTTTCATACCCTCATGCCAGGTCTTAGCTTGACCACGCTTGACTTTCTTCCACCCCCTACATGTCTCGGCGAACATCGCTCGCCGTTGCAACCTATCTGGTGACATACGTAACACATGCCTCAACTAACGTAATCTATTGAGATCGACCATTTGCTCCAATGGGCGACCGCATTTACCTGAAACTCCGCCTAACCTCAGCATTGTTCGTCCGGCTGCCCCACCAGATTTGTACAACGCTACGTAGACAGCGGTGTTCGAACACCGACAGTCTGTCTTTATCCTGATTTCTTATTGGCCACGATTCTGCGCCATATAGCAGAACTGGCCGAATTACTGCAGCATACACTCGACCCTTCACAGACAGCCGGATGGCGCGATGGTGCCACAGATGTCTTTCAAGTTGGCAAGTGCCAACCGAGCCTCCTGTATGCGAGCAGACACTTCACCCGTGATGCGCCCACCGGGTGAGATGTAGCTGCCCAAATAACAAAACTTACTCGCTCTATTACTTCAACAGTTAGGGTGAGGCCGGGTGCTGGACCATCCCAGTCTTGAAGTAACATTTTGCACTTAGAAGGTGCAAAACGCATACCGAACATGGTTACACTATCACTCAAACAATCTAGAAAGGCTTGCGACTTACCTGGATCTTCACATAGTAGCACAATGTCGTCAGCCTGCCACCTGAGGGTAAATCGATGCCACTATCTTCGCACGACGGTAGGGCTGTTTCCATAATGAGATCTATAACAAACT